ATTACGAAGCAACAAGTATTTGCGCAATGTTAATTAGGCAGATTACCTTGAAAAACATTGCGGCCGTATTTCTGATATAGTTTTTTGCAAATTTCTCAGTTTTTAATAACAATTAATTTGTTTTACTATTTTTTCTGTACTCCCATAACAGCGCCAGACAACCCCTCCAGAGGAATGACGCCAATTTTGAATCACCCTGTAGAGATGTACCAGATGAACCTCCTTAACTACAGTTATTATCCCAATCACCATTATTACTAAACTTTAAAATACTATTACTTTCCAAGTTAACTTTAATTTTGTTTTGTTTATTTTTGTTTTCAAATAATAATATGCCTATATTCTATGTTTCAGTGACAAGCCCGAAACCTTGGATAGGTTTAGATCATGTGAATAAGGCTCCGAAACGAACCAGGTTCAATTACCTTGAAAAAGCTATCAAGATATATAACTGATATTAGACTGAGGGTACAGGAGGGAGCAGAAATCACGCCGTTGACATCGTGTTAAGCAGTCATAAGTTGTGGCTTTCAGTATTGTTGCCAATCTCTTAATTTGTAATCCGATTGTTAACTATTTCTACTTGGCAAAATTAGTTCTCTATAAATTTCATTTAAAATTAAAGAACACCATTATGGAGCGCTTTATTTTAAATTCTTCATTCTAAACTTTCTATTCAACATTTCTTGTTCATCAGTTTTGATAAGCTGGAAGAAGTTAAATTCAATTGAGTATGAAAATAGTACGAATTCTAGCGCAGTCGGGTGTTTCATGTAAATGTTGAGTAATGACCATCAACGGATGTTTAGATTTATAAAATCGCGTGTTTCACACGTTCAAGATTCTTTTATTAGAAACGACCATATTATTTAAATTATTGAAGTTATTTGAAATAATCGACGGCTAAAGTAATTCTATGAATTCATCGTTTCTAGACACAATTCGTTTAGAAATTGTATATAGTTTTAGCGTGTTTTATGGATCTAATTTCATCATAATTTTTCATATTGAACGAAGCAGTACCTGATTTTTTTTATTTTAAAGAAACCTATTACAATTGGCAATTATTCATGATTTACATATGATTTATATAATCCAATCGAAGGTCTCGAAACAGTTATTGCTTAATCTGATGAATTGAGAACTAAAAACGAACAAATTCGGGGTTGTTATTTGTTTAATGCAAAGGCAAAATCGTCGTAATGGAACACCAGGAACACTGACAATATTTTAAACAGTAAAAATTGTGTTTTTAATATTTGGTAGGCCGGACAGGATTAACTTTAACTGCACGTATTGAAGCACCTACAAATAACGTGACGCGCAAAAACTAATTTTGCCAAAATATTTAAAGTCTAGGGTGTGAGTATGTTGCTTCAATTTATAGTTAACGTTATTTTCAGATGACTTGTAAACCCTGCAGTTATAATAGTTCTTGTAAATAATATTTATTGGACCGATATGTCCTGTTTAAAATTATATCTACGGAAATATTCACCTGTTAAATATGTTTTGAGTTTTTCACTTACTTATTAATTATGTCACATTTCGGAGGATTTTTAAATTGTTGTTTTATATGAATTATTACCCAGATTGGTTGCAAAATTCTGCGGATTTAGATGCCAATTCTAGGTAATATTAAAAATACAAATTTGGCTTTCAAGTCAAATGTTTTTTTATTTACAAAATGCCTCATTTTGTATGTTGTATAAAACGCGTCTCCGGTTTCTCCGTTTTGCATATTAACACGAAACATCTCTCCCTTTCTAATTTTAAATACATGATTTGGTATTTTGCGTATTGCTTTTTTATGATGCAATATTGGGGGATTTAAATCATAGCAATTTTTGAATAGGTACGATTTGGCCCTGAAAGTTGGATGGCTCATTTGAACACTAGTAAGCATTTAATTCTTCGGACAAAATCTAAGTTCTCGTTCTTGCTGTTATATATTAATATAATAAACAGTTTGCAATCATTTCTTCAAATGACAACTTTTTTAGACATTTTTTCGATATGATCGAGATATATTTTAGTCAAATACTCTGTACTAAATTTTATCTGCATTTCTATATTGAGTGATTTGTTAGCGTGAAATCGGTTCCTAGTTGTTCAAGCTCGGCAAACGCACCAAATCCTCTTTTGGTATTTGGTAAGTTAGTTTAACTTACCGCTTTTACAAAATCATTTTATCCCGTTATAAACCGATGACGCACTATTGAGTCATGAGTCACATTGAGTATAAAGGAGGAAAAACATAGGGATAATACATTTTCAATGATTATTAACGATATTAACAAATGTATTGTTTGTTTAAAATGTTTAAAATTTTTAAAATTTCAAATGTTTAAAATATAATTGTACATAATACTCGATATAAATCATTAGTGTCGTTGGCTTTAATATTTAAAAATGGTCGGTGATATCTTTAAATAACTATTTATCTAACATTTAATTCCCTCAAGATGCTCGAACGTTATCCAAAACATCATGTAACCGAGAAATTTATAAATATTATGCAGCTTTTACTTTGTAAAAATTGTATGAAACTGTATTGTATTTATTGTTCAAATGTCATGTATATTTCATTATGTATTTGTTGAAGATGATCCAGCTTAAGTAAAAAGTATTGCAATAAATTATGTGAACAAAATGTATGCATTATTTTTTGTCAAAACTCCGGTTGGTATTGTCGCACATTTAGTAATTATTTCTTTATTCTTACCTGTTGCTTAGTTTCGTGTTCGTCCAATGTGTCGCATTAAAGGCTGCTGATTTTCCTGGCTGGTTTAAGTTGCTAGCCTTCTGTATCAACAGAAGCAGGCAGTACTGAAATTAATGATAAAATTAAGAGCAACTCAGAGTGGCGCGATGGAAGTGTATTTTAAATGTGACTAGATGTGAAGTTTTCCGTTAAATCGCAAAATGGTAAGTTTTCTTAGTATTCTTTCTTTTTATGGTTCCATTTTTAGGTAACACCAATAATTATTTTCAATACTTCATAAATGTTACTGATCAACTGCCCAAAATAGAAGGTATCTTAAAAATTAATAGACTTTTTGATGTTGAAAAAAAATTGATTTGAAATAAATCATATGAAATAATACCAAATGTTTTTGTGATTGATAGAATAATCTTTTTTATTGGCGCCGTCGATGCCACTACGGATTATTTTGATCGATAATCAGTTTTAGACGAAATCTATTTCTAAATATATGTTTTATATTGGTTTATTGTTTGTTGAATGTTTACTTGCAGTGATTGTCGCCAAAAATATCAAACAAGCTTAATAAAAATTGAAACTTATTTCATTGATAATTTGCGTGCCAAGTTGCTTTATCAAACTATAAACCGAGACGCAAAATATCAAAGAGAGCCATAAACATGTTATAGACCCACAGCAGTTCTAAATAAAGAAGAACGGCCCTTTGAGGTAAGATAATAAATTTCATTAATTTGATAGTGGCGGCTTGTTTTAAAGTTATTTATTTATTGCTGTAATTGAAATAAAAGATTGCATTTTATCAGTAGTTTGATGGTTTTTCACCAATTATAAGTAAAGAACCGCCGGCTATTACAGTCGAATTGAATTTAGCAGCGATTATGAAATGTAGGCAATGATCCCACACAGACTCCACAATTGACATGCACTAAACCTTGAATAATCAAAATTGGTGAAACAGACACTTCTAAATAATTTCCTTTGACCGCTAACGAGGCTTAGCAAAAAATGGTAAAGCTGAAATGGAACTAACATTCACAAGCAGTATTTCGCCATTTTATTTATCATTTATTTTTAGATAAACTTCATGTGTCTCCTGAAACTCACAGCTTGGTAAAAACAGCGTTAAGTGAAATTTTCATTATATTTTTTACTTGTAATATTTTTATAAAACGAATGTTCCATAAATAAATATGACATTAAACGAGACCGAAGAATAATAAAAAGAAACAATGTAAAACTTTTGGTAGTGAACCATTTCAACATTTGCTCGAGTTATGTTTCAATCGTGAGTGCTAAAAATTGAGAGAATTTACGATGAATAATCATCGGTTAATTAAGGACAGAAAAAATAATTTTATTTTCCAGTTACGTGTACTTTTGTACCTTCTCTTTTCTAAAGTGAGGGTGAGTTTATCGTACCAAATTTGAGCACTAATTATTTTGTTAAATAGTCAAATTTTGAAAGTCTGGCAAGCTTTAAAAGTACCCGATTTTCCGTTCTGAAGAAATCGACAGTCCCTAAAATACAAGTGAGAAGAATAGTGTTTGAAATTAAAAATGAGAACAAAAATCTGAGTCTGATATATAAAGATTGCGGTCCCTATTGTGATACCACCTATTATTACGGTTTACCCAGAAATTCTCAGAATAATAAACAGCATATAAAAGATTGCCCTCCGGTTAATGAATATAAACCAGTAGGTTCTTTGTTATGATCGGCGGTCTCCAGTTGCTCAGGTATCTTCTATACTTTTTCCTTACCATCGCGGAAGATTTGAACTTTGCAAGGTTGCCGAGAACCATAATTTGTCCGTTGAATACGTAACAATAAAGTATATTTTTCATAATGGAACAAAACAACTGAAACATTATTTGATTGACTGTCACATTGACTATGTGAGATTTTATTATCTTAAATTAGTTACAAAATAATAAATGTTTATCGATTACTTCTGATCAACGAGAAAAAGGAAACAGAATTTTTCATTTTCAAAAATTTACGTCTTCGATTGATAAGTCTTTAACCAGTCCAAAAGTGGATTTTTAATGATTTATTTTGATGTTAAAAACGTCTCCTTACGTACTTTTTGTTCTGCAACATTTTCACTTTTCCTTCACGGATACACCACAAATTTAAATGAAATGAAAAAAATAAAGGCAACGTACAGGGTGTTTCCTCATAAGTTGAAACCCCCCTTATGTCGTTCGTTTCAAAAAAACTGTGAAAGTGACCAACACAAGAGTTGTTTAATTTTACTCAAATTTTTTAAATCTGAATTTAAAATAAAAATATGAAACAAGGAAATGTAAAAATTTGACGTAAAGTATTTTTTTTAATGAAACACCCTATATATTTTTAGATATACCAATAGGATTTTTTTTCCTGATTTAAAAAATATATATTTTGCCTATATTTGTATTAGTCGGGTTTCCTATATTACGTTTTAAAAATTATAAATAGTAACAAATCAAAGTAGCCTTGAAATTCGACAAGGCGCTTTCTCCACCCCATAGCGTTCGCCCTGTAGCACGTTTTTTAAATGAAAATGTTGATATCTGGATTGAACGAGCGGGTCCTATCCATCCAATTGCCTCCAAATAGTCCCGACCTAACGCCCCTTGATTCTTTCCTCTGGGGTTATTTAAAGAATATTGTGTATTGAGACTCTAGTTAGACGCCTTAAAATAGTGGATGCAATTAACGATATTAATATTATATATGTCCTAACGAATATATTCAAAACGTTATCGATAAAATTGAAGTAGATTATTATAGAGCATGTGTAGCGTTAAACGGAGGTCATATGCAAAACCAGTGATTCTGTTATTATTTATTAATTTGTTTTGACATTTATAGCTGCAATAAATTCCGTTATGTTGTCTTCCTATAGTTTTTGAGTCATTTGAGACTACTTTAGCTTGTTACTAATTAAAATTTTTAAAACATAATACAGAGAAAACGGCTAATACAAATCTAGGCAATATATATATTTCTGAAATCAGGAAACAAATCCAATCGACGTGTCTAAAAATATATAGGGTATTTCATAAAAAAAGACTGTAAAATTTTGACATTTCCGTGTTTTATATTTTTATTTTAAATTCAGCTTTAAAAAAATTGAGTAAAGTTTTATGTTGGTTACTTTGACAATTTTTTTGAAATAAACGATCTCCCTAGATCACCCCCCTGGGTGATAACTTTTGAGGAAACACTCTGTACAAGGCGACTCACTATATTCGAGACTCCCTCAATAGGTACTAAAACGCTATTTTTTATTTATAATTATTCAATTTTTGGTAACATTGAGTTTTACGCGATAATTTTAAAATTTGCTTCAATTATATAAAAAAAAATATTTTCTTTTAAATTTAGATAATTTTTTGAGGAAAAAAAAATTTCTGGATTGGACAAGTTGGTTTTATCGTCTTATCCCATGGCCCCCTAATAGACCCGACTTAGCGCCTCTTGATTTTTTATGGAGTTTTTAAAATAATATTATGTATGAAAGTCCAGTACCGTTACAAATGTTGATGATTACTGACTGATGACTTAGAAATATATGATCAACGTATGAGAAAACACCCTGTACCTACTCTTTAAAAGTGTATCACTTATATTATAGCAAAATGAAAACAAAAAATATTAGTTTATAAACTTCTAATCCGTAGTTAAAATCCAGAATTAGATTACTGATGGGTTCCATGCAAAAAAGCAGAAACCAAATAAAATATACATATGTATTTATTTCGTTGGCATATTTTTCGCATGATTCATATTCATTAACCAGGAGAAGCGCTAAAAATCCCACTAATATTTTGACATTTGTTTGTCGAAATTTAACACACTTTATTCACCTTGGTATTTAGTAGATGCGTTTGATGGGGCGCGATTTGAAAACACCCTGTACAAACCAAGGCAGGTACCACAAGAAAACCTTTGCACAGCCTTTGGCAACGCGGTTCATTTAAACCTCGCATAGCTTTTGATTTTTTTAAATCATGTGTTTGTGTATCGCGGTATAAACACGAACCTATAGATAGTCAAAGAGCGGTTGCCGTGCTGGATGCTGTGGTCCTTTCGCTCTTGTACGTACGACTTTCGTTGGGTAGTTCGATTCTGGCGCACATCTGCCATCGATTTTGAATAAAACTGTGGGATTTGCGACCGGAAAATATGATATTTGTGTTGGTTTTAGTGAAACGGAAGTCATTCTGCACTTGATTGACCCGAATCTACCGAAAATTAATGAGCGAAATGAAAGCGGTACCATAGTTTCGTGTTTACTATGGTTCCTGCGATTTGACTATGTGGCGTAAAGTTGTTGTGGTGCTTCTGGGTTTAGTTTTTACCATACCGCAGCAGATTTGGGCAGCTTCAACCACGGAAGTACGGGGTTCCAAACAAGGTATCAATTATCCCCTTAATAATCGTAAATCGTACATTATACCATATATAAAGATTATAAACAATAGTGACTTTAAATTACCAATTGTAAAATAGCAAGTCGTGACTTCTTTCACAATAAGTGGGCGCTCAAAGACAACTAGGTATACAACCCAAATTTATTAACTGCTAAGTTGAATGAAATGATTTATATTTCAATTATTTACAGTCCGTAAGGTTTCACAAGAAAATTCATTGCAGCATTAATATTATGCACACATTGTTAGCATTAATATTTATTTTGAGCATCATTATAACACTTTGGAGATATTACCCGTTTGCATGTAAGGAGCGGATGTGGTGAAGTTGTTTAAATGCGAATTTTTCAAATCCTGAATGTTAATATATTACCCATTTTCTTCTGTTGCATTCCCCGGCAATCTTTAGATTTGTGCATGGAATAATATTTTCTTAGAAGTGACTGAATGCGGTTTTACTATTCAATTCGAGAATAAATTATTTTTACCAGAAGAATAAAGCACAAAGAACATAATCTAAATATGCACTTTGTGGATTCCGATTAGTTATTGTTCATTACTATTTACTCTCGTGCGTCTTGGATTTACAAAATATCTGTACCATTTTCATAGTACTTATTTGCTTGTGAGACAAATAACTTAAAACAAATAGTATGATATCGATAAATAGAGGATAGTATACTTGCATCGGACTTCGATTAACTTAGTTGTATTGATTGCTATTGAAACGACCAGAAGTGGATTTCAAAAATTATTTGCTACTAATACTAATCAATCAATCAAGAAGTAAGTAGCCACAAAATATTAGTTCCTTACATTTCTCGTACGGTTTTATAAAAATTGCATGCTTTTCCAATGTTCAATAGAAAAATTTCTGTTCCAAATAAGCAAGACATAAATTTACAATTTTGTTTGAAAATCAGCCGAATTTGCACGTCGCATCATGTTGTTAGATCTTATTAGATATTATTTGACTATTTTAAAGAAAAAAATGCAAAATATCAAGAACCAAATTTAAAAGTTTTTTTTTATATAAATAATAATTCATATCTTCATAATCTTCGAAAAAATTAATATCTCCTACGCTATATTACTTTTTCTACATTTATAGCGATCTATTCTATCGAGTAAATCGCAATAAATTTTATGAATGTTTCGTTTAGAGACACCAATAAACAAAATGATAGTATAAATCTTGTTTTTTAGGTCAATTGTTCGTTGGATAAGTAGTTAAAAATATATTAAATAATAAATTTGCTCTTAATGCGGTTCAGATGTATCGCAATTTTACTGCTCTCTATATTCATACCTTTTTAGGGCAGCGCATACATTAAAAACAATGTTGAATTAATCAGGCAAATAATTTCATACAAATATATTCCAATGCACTTTCGACTCGCACTCGAAATTTGGGCTGCTTTCATTTTTCTCGTTTTTTCTACTCATATTGCCCTCGTTTAGTCAATTTAGAAATCAATATTATACAGCTTGATTACCTTAGTAAGTTTCAACTTACTAAAACCATTAAAAAATATATATGATTAATATTCTTTATAAAATTGTAAAAGATTGTAATCAAATCTAAAATAGTTTGCACGCATTTCTCACTTCCGTGTTTCTTCATATGGTTTTTTGATGAAACCATTTATGTTTTTACATAAGAGATAATGGTTTAACATGCCTCATCGTCGATTATTTTCATGAAAACTTCGTTTTCACCGCCAAATTAAAAAATAGAAAATATTTCCATTCAAGTAAACACCCTGTTTTTGCATCTGGTTCACTTTCATTGAAGGTGACAGTATTTATTTGATCTGAATTTCTAGTAACATTTTGGTGCTTTTCATAATTCTATTTTACATTTTAAAGTTCTTAAAAATGTGAATACCAAAATTTAGTAAAAAACACAAAATACATCAAAATCAATATTTTCAGATACAACAACTTTGCGAGTGAATTTTATTAAAATTTTTAACGGGTAATAGTTTTAATTGTACAGGCTCGACCGCTCGACCGATGGAAGATTATTCGAATATTATGCGGACTATCAAATTACCAAATTAAAAAATTTATGTTTGCTGAATCAAAGAGTCTCTCAGTCTGAGTTTGTGAAAGTTTTCAAAAAGTTATTCTTTTTAATGTTTTTAATGAATCAGAGACTATAATGACGTTTTAATTTAATTTTAATTGCATCAAACCCTTAGTGGATAAAGCTGCGAAAAACTGCAAAAAAAGCGGAAACATAATCAGATAAGTGGCACCAGATGTATACAGAAGAAATATTACAGTTTCAGGGGATTAATTGGAAACAAAAAGGTGCGGTTTTAGGACTGGTACATTTTTTTAGTGCATTTTTGAAGATATGTTTAACAAATTTAGTTTTATTAAATTCTACATTGATTGCAACAGTAGATGCAAGGTAAAATTAAAAATAAATCGCATGAATATTGGGGTGTTCATGAGGTCTAAACCAGTTGGTTGAGCTGAAAGAATACCTATGTAAAATTCTAAAATCTGCCCGAAAATGTCATAAGGCAGCTGGAAAGGCAGGAAGCAAAGAATATAACAAACATAGAATATAATAATTTCGATTCTCGATTGCGTTTTGACACAAAAAAAATATTTTCATATTTTATTATAAAAAGTTTTTCTTCTTTGGAGTGTTTCTTAAACTTGTGTTAGTGACCGCCTGGATTTCTGCCACTTGATGTGCCGAGATATTTTACTAAACATTTTCTAAAATATATTTTGTGAGTGATTGAAGTTCATTTTGTTGCAAAAATTAAGTACTTCAGATGAAGATAAGATAGAATATTAGGTGTATCTTTATGCCTTTGGGGTTGAAATGAAAAAAAAACTATTCACCTGGGAGTACCTATGCCAAATTTTCAGAAATTGTGTACAGTTTCCACCTTGTCAAAACTTTATTTGAAGTATATTTTTTTCAAAATCATTGACTGACAGTCAAATATTTTTTTACTATCCAAGGCTTTGAACATAAATTCCAAGCTAGGAAAAATTTGACCGTGTAATATTAATTTTGTCGAGCAGCTCATTTAGCAGGACTTTTCCTTATTTGTCATGCATAATAGCTGATAACAGCTAGTTTTAAGCATTAAGTAGTGCGCGAATGTACTCTCTAAATTATTCAAAAATTGAACGCTAGTATATTATATGGGTAAATTTACATTTGGTAAAAATGTCCAAACAAATATTCCAGAAATTCATGCTTAAAATACATTCGAAAATACACCTCAAAGTCATCTTATGAGTAGGCGCTATTTAAAATGCAGATTTCTTAATGTTTTCATCGGATTCGCTGGTTAATCAAATGGGTTATTAGATCAACTAATTCTAATTGCTTAGGAATGGATGTGTGGGTGTTGCTCAACAAGTTCCTTTATTGTGCCAATTAACCGTAAAGAATCGACATTGCAATTCGAAATGACGCGATATCGGCCTTATGACTAATCTCAGCATAATATGTTATTCGTGTTTTTGCCGCTATCAGAATAATTCATGTCTGAGTATTACGAATCATTAAATTCGCCACTTAATGCTGTGAAAAATTGCCCGGATTACGTATAATTGCGGCAAGTTGTTGCAGTTTTCAATTCGTATTCCATGTCCGGAAATTTCCACATACAATCATATGTATGTTTGAAGGTGATAGACGGTGTGCAAATTAAATAATCTGTTGGGACTTTCGTTGAATACAAAATGTGTTTAATAAACACCGCGTTTCGATTGGTAGGCATCTCCAAAAGTTATCAAGTGCAGTGGATGAGTCGTTACACATCGGCCACAGCTTAAAAGAAAGTTTTATAGAATTAATTAATTTACCTACACACCCATGTATAAAGAAAATGCGAACATCGACATTATTCTAAATGGAATTGTTGCTGTACAATCTGTTAGTTGTTTACGCGGAGTAACAGCGTAGTGATCCCCTGATAATGAAAGCAATTTGCTTCTTTTACCCTTTTATCTATATCTTGTAATATCATTATAGTCATTAAAGGAAGATTTGCAGTGGAAACTTAAATCCTGATAGTTTTGCTGCTAATTATAACACAAAAGTGATGATACTGAACTATTTGTTTAACAAGAACAGCAGCTTTTTAGCAATTTTTAACTCGACCCAAAAAAAATTCTGTATTAAAATGTTGAGAATTTCGGACACTTTTATGCAGAAAGCATTTTTTAATCTCACTTTAGTTAAATAGTTTCGCTTGGACCATAAAAATCCCACAGTTTTTCGTCTCAAAATCAATTAGCTCCTATCAATGCATACGAGTTGGATTACATATTTGCTGCATGTTTAAATGGCGAGTTTCCAGATTAAACTGCGTTGATTTTACGCATTAAAGCTTCCAATCGCTTTTACTTCCATAAAATCTCGGTATTAATACCAAGAAAACCTATTTAACCGTTACATGTGCAGGTGCTTAGTAATTACTGACAGTTATTCTTAAAGCCAGTGGTCCAAATCAGTTGTACTACTTCGTGAAAGTATATCGCCAAATAAAATTTAAAAAACTAAAATACCTATTATTGCCACTCAATTATAGTTAGCTGCTGGTAAATGCGGAAACATAAATAATGCAGCGACTGGGCGCGATCGAATTCTGTCTTCAGGTGGATGATCCGCAGTAAGTTGTTTTGCAATAGAATCGAAAACCAGTTAAAAAATCGTTGGCAATTAGGTGATTGCCACATTACCTAAGACGATAGGAAAAATGAAGTCAAACGAAACCCAGTTAGACAAAGCACACTAATGTGTGAGTTGGATCATTCGGAATGCACATAATTGCATCGTTCTTTAACGAAAGGTCAACATCTAATTTTGTCTTCAATTAGGCTTTGGTTGGTGTAAACTACGGGCATCGAGGGTTTAAAATTACGAAAAATATAATGTAAAAGTTAAATTTTTCAAGCATGAAAAATTAAATTTTTAAGAACTTCAGCATTATTTCTGCGCACC